GGAAGTGTAACCACATCTACCTTTCATCCCACTGTACACCTAATTTGTGTTTCCTGAACCTTTCTTTCCATTTCATTGACACAAGAATCTGAAGAAAATCTTGGGCCATGCTGCTTGTGGCCACAATGCTGTTTTACCACTTGTGATTTGTGTTTCCAAATCTGTTTGGTTTTGGAGCTCTGCAGAGCATAGGCTGCTCTGTGCTGTTACACACAGCATCATGCTACTGCTTCCTTTTCTTGGTTGTTCTTAAGACATCTCTCTACAAAGTAGAATTAGAAACAAAACATCAGTTAACTTCCCTGCATAACTTTCTTCTTTTCATTTCTTATAGTTTTTTTTTTGTTGTTTTTGTTTTTGTTTTTTTTTAATGTAAGTACTGCATAGATTGTCAGTTGCTGGAAAGCATATGCCAAACATTTTAATTCCTTATTATATAAGTCATATGAGCTCTTCCTAAATGAAGCCAGACTGAAGAACAGTCAGTATGTTATTATGAGCCCTTTGAGATAGACGTGAGAAAGAAAGAAAGAAGGAAAGGAAGAAGAAAAGAAGGAAAAGAAGGAAGGAAAGGAAAGGAAAGGAAAGGAAAGGAAAGGAAAGGAAAGGAAAGGAAAGGAAAGGAAAGGAAAGGAAAGGAAAGGAAAGGAAAGGAAAGGAAAGGAAAGGAAAGGAAAGGAAAGGAAAGGAAAGGAAAGGGAAGGAAAGGGAAGGAAAGGGAAAACCAATGGAAGTTAATCCATCTGGAATCAGTGGAATGTGGTGGAGAGAAAGCACAAATGATAATTTGCTACAGCATGCCTACTGTAGGAGATAGCCCATGTCTACATGAACTGAACAGTATTTGTTAGACTGGACATAACAACATGATTCTGTAACTCCATTGTATCTTGTTCTCAAGTTAGTAAATTAAGTACTAGTCTAAAGACATCCCAGAAGTAGTTTCCCTGTTGATTTCAGTGGTGTTAAGGATTCAAGAAGATAAGGAAAGTTAATGTTTTTAACTGTTCTATTAAATTGGAAATGAGAAGCATCAACTCACTGAGAAGGGATACCCATTTTTTCCCAATCCTTCTCTCTTTGCACCAGGAAATCAGGATCGTTACTGGAAGTGATTCAATGACTTCTACAGCTCTCATGGTGAGAGGTCTCATGATTCACTGTGAAGTATCATTAACACAATGCAGAGTGCAGATACAGCAGTGCCTTCTGAGTGTCCATTGTAGACTTTCTGTTATGCCTCCCTTACCTTGGCTGAAAACTTTTCCTGCTTTCTTTCACTTAAGAAAGATTTCATTCCGTTCAGTGAGCTGACAATAATATAATGAATTCAGTATCATGAGCCATCTCCACTTTATTTTCAGATTCACTTTTCCCTAGACGACCTACTGGACATCTCAGCTCATCTGGTGATCAATCCCTTCTCTCTCCTAAGATTATTCTCACATTAACTTAATTTCAGCTGTGTGTAAGAGAGCTCTTCCAGGTGAGAAAGAAATCAGTTAGTTTAGTGAGAGGTTCCAGCATTATATTTTGTTATGATTTTTTTGAAGTTCTAGTGCTGCTCCAAAAGTAATGCATCCTATTTTATTATGTTGGCCCACAACATCCAAGACACACGTTGGTGGTATGGCAGCATAGGCTGAACCTTCACGACAATATTCTGTTACATGTGGTTGCCATGTGACAGATGGCAGCAGAGTGGCAATCTGTCCAAATGGCATCTGTCATGGAAGTATATGCGTCAAAACTGTGCTATTGAACTCCTCAGTGCAGAAAAAATGGCACCCATTGACATTCACTGATGTTTGCTGAATAGGTGTGAGTGCAGTGAGGTGGTGAGTGGCACGTTTCAGCAGTGGCAACAGTGGGTCATCTCTGCTGGTGCAGATTTTCATGAGTGCAGCATGCAGGCTTTTGTTCATCTCTGGCAAAAATGCATAGCTGCTAGTAATGACTACATTTTAAAAAATATTGTTTCTGTAGCTAAGAATGTGTACTATAAAATAATGCTATTGTGCCCTTTGCATCTGTTGTAATTTCCATGGAAATAAATAGGAGGTGTTTCTTTTGCAGCAACCCAGATATTTTTCCCTATACTTTTTTTTTTTTTTTTTTTTTTCTGATAAAGAAACAGCCTGAGCATTTTGTTCCAGTGGCAAAAGAGCAAAACTCATGCAATTGTTTGATATGGCAACAGAAGATATATATTGTAGCATGTGAGTCTGAGGTACCCACACAATTCATAATGCAATGCTATGCAGAAAGATCTTCAGATAGATAACTGGTGGTAAGCCTATGTTGTTGTGATCTTCCCTCTGGTCTAACTTATTCCAGTTTCCTAGACCTAGGGGTTATAGTATATTTAATGCTTCAGGTAGGCTCTACAGAACTAGTCTATGTGCCTCTATGTAACACTGCATGTATGCACATTCAAGTTCCTGGCTGTTGTGCCTGTAGAATCATAAAAACATTTAGATTGACAAGGATCTCTAAAGACTGTATAGTCAAACCCCCTGTTGAAAGTAAGGCCTTAGAACAGATTCTCCAGAGTCCCATCAAACAAAGCCTTTCTATTTCCAACAGGGGTGATTCCACCACTTCGTATTTTTCAGTTTGCTTTGAGAAGGAGACCTGCCAGTCAATCCCCTTTCTTCCCAAAACTGTGGACTACTCTGTCCACAGCATAGGATTTCACTACTGCCTTTGCTAAACATGGTGCAATTCTTGTTGATCTGATCTTTCAGCCTATCACAATCTCCCTGTTTGGTGACCCCTCCTTTCAGCATTTTCCATCTTCCAGTTTGGTGTAACCTGCAAACTTGCTGAGGATGCATTCAAACCTGTCATCCTGAATTTTTATAAAATTGCTGATAGTTTTAGCCCCAGTATTGACCCCTGAGGAACTCCACATGTTATGGCTGCCTGTTAATCACAAAGCCATTAACCATCACCATTTCAGCTAGCAGTTTAGCCAGTTTTCCACCCATTTCACAGTCAGTCTGTCCAGTTTATATCTTGTTAGACTGCCAATAGGATGCTGAGGATGACCATGTCAAACAGGTTGCTAAACATCAAGGTAGATGTTGCCCACAGAACTCTCCTCACCTACTTAGCAAATTGTTTAATCATGGAAGGCATTGCAGAAAGACAAATAAAGACATTGCAGTGCTCCTTGTAGGCTGATAGATACTTTCCTCCAAAAGAAATCATTTTAACATCAATCTTTTCACCATTTGATAGCTCTTGGCCTCAAAACTTTCTTCTAATAATGTCACTAGCACTGCTAATGCTTCTTATAACCTCAAAAACGTAATGGAACAGAATTCCAGCTATTTTATCCAGTTACTGCTATTGCTAGATTTTTGACATATAAAATGGCAGTCTCTATTTCCTTGTGACAACATACTTAGAAGGCCAGCAACTTTACATACCAGAATGAATTGCAAGCACGTAGCATAGAATCATGCAACGAGACAAGGCAGAGTAGCCCACCATGCACAGCACCACTTTTCAACAACATCATGTCCCTACAGCAGTTTTCTTGGCAAGATGAGCCTGTGCTTGACTCACAACCTGCAGAGCAGCCGACACAGATTTTTTGGGCCAAATATAAACAGCATATTCAAAGGGGAGATTCCTTTCTGTGGGTGCTAACGAGGAGATTTAAGCTGACATGTAGTGAGAAGCTCCTGGACAGCAGCAGGGTACTGAGGGGTATATGTGGTGCCATTAAAGTTTATAGCGTAGTTTTCCCTGCTGGACATTATTTGTGTGCTTCTACTGGTAATGTTGGCACAAAGATGATACAGTTCAAAGTGAAAGGTGAGAAAATAATCCTGCTAATTCCTGTCTTCTCAACTGTGGGTTTACAATAAGGGTGGGGAAAAAAAAAAAAAAGCTGCTACTGTTTGTAAAGAGGTAAAAATCATCAGCCTGGTACATGATCAAGCAGCAAAGTTCCAGAGTCCAGACAAATTACCTGAATTATACATGCATTCATTAGCCAACATTTAGTGACACAGGTCACTTTGCTTGTACCTTCTGATTATTTTTCTCTTCTTTTCAGCCACACCTCTGTTCTATGTGATCTATATGCATCTCTCCATTCTTTTTTTTTTTCCCTATTCACAGAAGAAGGCACTTAGCTGCTCTTCCTGGCTAGAGAGAAAGCTCTTCAACATCAATAACATGGAAAAAAACTGCCATCCACGATTCCTTTGTTGACTTCCTGATGGCCTCTTGCACGTACTGAACAAGAGGAGCAGAGTGATGTAAAATTCAGCATCAGAGCAGATAAATCAGCTACCCAAAGATCAGCTACCCAAAGTCCCTGAGGAAGTGGATGCTAAACAACTCACTAGCCATTCTTGTGGGGCTGAATAAGTGTCTGAAAGCATCAGGGAAGGTGTCCAAAAGCTACACAGAGATGGCAGAGCTTACAGCCCTGTGACTGTCAGGGAGAGTTGGGATTCTCAGCAACTGAGGTGATTGTTTTCATCAAAGCCAGTCAGAGAGCTAATAGAAGTAGTATGGAAACTTCCTTCTTGTTCTTTGTTTAAAGATTACTTGCTGAAATTACTAACAATACTCTTGTATTTCCAGCTTAAGCTTCCTTTTAATAAGTCAATCTGGGGAAAGTGTTTTGGAGGTGGATATGTTGCTTAAAAAGGATCCCAGATGCCTTTCCCTGATGAACATAATACACATCTAACTGTATTGTGCTTTGTGTCAAAAAATCGCACAAAATCTGACATTCACAACTGCCCCAGAGAAGTAAAAACCCAAAGCACTTCTAACTTTGATCCTATAAATTTTCTCCCAGCTTAAAGTTTAAAGCATTAAGCTTACCTCCCACCAAGAACCTTTACGGTCCACCCAGATCTGGAGTCTTCTCATCTGATTTTAACACCATTCCCCTTCTCCAAGGTGAGGGAAGAAGATTCCCTTTCTGCATATCTAACTTCAGTACCTCTGCTGAGTACCTTTCCAGCACTTACCTGCAGACTCTCCAGTGGCGTAGCAGGAGACTTTCCTCACTCTGCACATCTCCCTGACTTCACAGAAAAGTGTTGTTGATGAGGAACTGCTTTTGCAACAAAGCTCTTTCTTCTTCCTGAAATATCATCCACTGCCCATAAACCACAAGCGTGCTCGGACCAATTGTGTTTGTTTGGGTTTTGTTGTTGCTGTAGTTGTTTTTTCTATAAATTATTCTTGTTCTGTTCAGTGCATATTAGATATTACCATTTAATGTGAAATGTATCTGCTTGTAAGCCATTACAACAGCAGGAAAGAAAGAGCACTATTAAGACTGAAAGTGAAAAAATGCATGTACAGGAATGAGATTATAAGCAGGTATGTAGACTTATGGGTACAGACATCTCTCCTGTGGTGTGAAGGTCATTCAGCCTCTCCACATTCCCTTTGTTGCTCAGATAACACTTGAGTGTCAGCACTAGGATTTTCTGCATTCTGAGGTCTGAGTGTGCCCACTGTGATGACACAGCCCCATATGCAGGATTGATATTGTGTCAGTGGTGAACATATTGACCTGAGAGTCCTTGCAGGCACTTTCTTTATGATGCAGCAATAAAGCATATGTAGTAAACACGAAGCAGGTTCAATGCTTTCCGGAACTCTTGAAATATTTCTGTCTCATTCTTGAATGATAGAGTCTTCCAAAGAGAGAAGTTCTAATGTGCTGTATGTACGCTACAGTCTTTTTATTAATGAAAAATATCGACTTGTTTATAAATGAAAAATAATGTGAGGAGAAGGAGGTTTTGGCAGGGAATTACTATTATAATTTCTCTCTCCACTATACACTATTGGTGATATTCTTAACTGTATTCAGTGCATGTATCTGCAACCAAAAATCTGCCAAAGCAGCAGAGGTGCATGCAAAAGCCTGGAAGAATTCCTTCACCCTCTTTAATTTATGAATCTTGTATCACTGCTGCAGCAGAGTGTCTGCAAAACCTGGCTGCATAGGAAGGAGCAGAACAAACACACTCCTCTTCAAATCTGGAACATACAATCCCAGGAGTTTCAGTATGAATAATAAAAGTATTCAGAGTAAGGATTTCTCTTTCTTCCAATTAAGGGGATATGCTTGGGGACTTTTAAGTTCAAAAGCTCATTAAATGTTCTGTGCTATCCCTTTGTCAAGATTTTCTGAGATAAAAAGTAATAGAGTGGGAAAATAGCACTATTCCTAGCAATGTCTAACTCTTCTTCTTAGTTTTAATAAGGAAACTATTGCTCGAATTACTGGTTGAGCTTATAAAATATTCTTGTAAGATTTCAGTGATCTGCAGTTTAAAACTTAAAATAAATTCAATATTAAAATTTAGTGAGGCTTCTCATAAAATAAGAAGTACAGCAATATTTTCCACTACATCTAAATGCAAAAATTCAAAACAATGTTGAATTTATCTCAACTGAGTAATATCCTACTAGTCCTATGTTAGATGTTGAGAAGGTAAGGCATACATAGATCAAACGATTTCTTCAAAGTCACACAGCAAATGTGCTACTGAATCAGGATTAGACTGTATCTCCTAATGCTGTGCCTTATGCTTTTGAGCATAGGCTGCATTTTGCCTTTCTGTAACAATCAGAAGGGCTTCCAGAACTAAACTTTTCACATTAACTTGTGAAATACAATAACCTGTTGTATTCATGGGTCATAAAGCCTGATCCATGTTCAGAACACTAAGGTAATACAGGATATGGACTTCTGGAGGTCGTTTGTTTTAACTTATGGCTCAAAGTAGGCATGTCAGGTTGTTCAGTGCCAGTTCAGTAGTTTGAATAACTCCAAGGATGGAGTGCATATCATCCATGGGCATTTGTTCCAATATTTGACCACTCTTGCAGTGAAAATACTTTTTTTTCCAACATGTAAGTGAAATTTCCCATGCTGCAGCTCATATCCATTGCCTTTTGTCCTATTGCTATGTAAGGCTGGGAAACATCTGGAGATAAAGACAGCAATAAGATCTACCTGTACTCGTGGTAATGCAGCCCAAAATACAGTTAGCTTTTTTGTCTGCCCTGGCTCATGTTCATCTTCTTGTCTACCGGGTACCTCCTGATTCTTTCCTTCAAACCTTGCTTTCTAGACTGACAGTGCTCAGCCCACACTATTTCATGAGTTTATTCAATCCCAAGTTCAGAGATTTGCATTTTCCATTGCTATCCTTTGTGATGTTCCTTCAGCTTTATTTTTCTAGTCAGTCCAAATCTCCCTTACTGACCTTTAGTCTTGCCCTTGAGTGTACCAACCACCTGTCTAATTTGGCAACAGCCTCAAACTGACTGAGGTGCACTCCATCCCATTAGTCATCTCATTAATGCAGATGTTAATAGTATTAACCTAAATACAAGCAGAGGAATGATACTACTTGTTTGTTGTCCTCAGTCAGTCCTTCCTGAATAGTCCTAGATCCCGGTGATCCCTCAGTCTCTGTGAACCTGGATACTGCTTCCAAACAGACTTACTCTATAAGTAATTGGTACTATCTTCCAAAGATTGTTGAGATCAACCTTATAATAATATGAGGAATCTTAGCAACAAGAACATCATAATAAACATAATGTCCTGTGGATCGGACCCTGTGGAACATGGGACATGAGAAGTCAGTGATGTCCTTGGTGAAGGTGTACACAAGATGGGTGTTGGGCATAGAACCTTATGGAGGTACCCACTGTTTGCATCACAAAGGCTGGCTACCCTGAGAGGCAGCTTCCATGCAGGTACAGTAACATCTATGCTTCTGATGATGTAAAAGTGAAAAATAGGCAGTGAAAAATATAAAAGTGAGTAAACAGCTGTTGCTTATCTGCTTTATTTTGGAAGTAATTTGTCTTGGTGGTTCGAGCATGTCCATCAATAAATCACACCAGAAATCTGAAAGACTTCAACTACATGCTTAATCTTTACGAGGAAGAACAGTCTGATTCATGCTGTCATTTTCCAGAGAAGCAACAGAACTGTTTCTCACTATCTACAGAACCATGAAGAGAGACAAAAAAGTTGAAGCAAATATCTAGTTAATACAGCGTGTAACTTTCATGGCTTAACTCTTCTATGATGGTCTCTACTTGCTGTCTAGTTCTACTTGGTGCAAATAGAATCTTACAGTATTGCAAGATAGAGGAGTGAGATAGAGAATATGGAAGATCTGACGTATTGTGACAAGCTGTCTGATGTATTGTAAGTAAAATACTAGCAACATTGATGATTTCCAGGACACAAATGGCTTGGGCCAGCCAGTTTTCAATCAAGTTCTGCTTCCTGCTGTGTGCAGTACAACATCTCTATGGGGACAGTTATCAGTTGCATCTGATGAAAATGAAAGTTGTAAGCATATCTCCTGGGTAAGTTGCTGAGAAAGATCATTGGGCGTTTACTCTTTGCTTCTGTCTCTCATCTTGAGCAGTGAAGAGGACAGTGGATAAGCCTTTGAGAGGCTCAGCTGGTACACAGAAATCACCTACTACGATTTCTGTCATCCCAGGAATGTTTTGCTAGTGAGTGAGTGACACAGTTCGGACTAGATAGGAGAATACAGCAAGAAGACTGAACTCCCAAGAGATGTCCTCAGCAAATAACATTACATTTCTGTACGTTCGTAGGTCTCATCACACATTTCTGTACGTTCGTAGGTCTCATCACACATGTTCAGTAAATACAATAGATGCTTGATGTTAGCATTAATCTGTGCTATTTTCTCCATTTTTTTTTTCTTACAAATTAAAGATGATTGATAGGGAGATAACTGAATCGTGGGCAAATTGTTTGAACATTGAATAGAGTACTGAACTTCTTCAGAAAAGCCAATGAATTGCCTTCTTAGAGGAAAATGTGAATGATTTCTGCAAGAACAGGACACAGCTATTTGAGCTGACCTTTACTAACCAGAAGAGGCACGGGTCTGTTTTACAAATTTCACATTATTTTCCTCGTTCATAACAAGTCAGAAGTGAAGAAAAGGTAGCAGACATGAGCTGATGCTGAGCCTTGAGTTATCCACCTTAGTGATGAAACCTTTGAGGCTGTATCTTTCCTGTGGTGAGCGTGATATGTCTTTTGCTGCAATGCCTGAAGAACAGCATTGGTTGCTTTTGTGGTTCAGTGCTGTGCAGAAAATGAAATAGAAAGCGTACTTCGCTTTTTATTACGGTTGCCATGTTTGGGAATAGGCTTGCCTACAGGCAGATAGAAACAGTTCTGAGGCAATGACAAACTATATTCTGATGTTTGAACTTTCCAGCACAACTATCAGTGAAACAGTTTTCAGTCAGTTAGGAGAAGGAAGCAACTCAGATATAAGAAAACTCACTAGAAGCAGTGAAACCACTCAGAGAAAGAGGAATGTAAAGAACTTACAACATCAGCTCCTTTGCAATGAAACTGAGTGACTTACTTTCCTAAGGCAAACTGGAAATGTAAGGAGCTGAAAAGCTTTTTGTGATGCAGTCACCTTCTGTTTGTCTCGTCTTCTGGAAGAACCACAGAAGTCTTTGGCTTCTGGGAGGGTTCATCCTCCTCAGCACTCATTCTCTAGCAATATGCCACACCTCTGGTTACCATTTGAGGTGAAAAGCTAATCCAAGGAAAATATCTTTACTTCTATCACAGAACCACAGAATATCAGGGATTGGAAGGGACCTTGAAAGATCATCTAGTCCAATCCCCCAGAGCAGGAACACCGAGATTACACCACACAGGAACATGTCCCAGCGGGTCTTGAATGCCTCCAGAGAAGGAGATTCCACAACGTCTCTGGGCAGCCTGTTCCAGTGTTCTGTTACCCTCACAATGAAGAAGTTTTTTCTAGTATTTATGTGGAACGTGTATGTTCCTACTTGCACCCATTGCCCCTTGTCCTGTCTTTGGGTGCTACAGAGAAGAACCTGGCTCCATCCTCCTAACACTCACCCTTTACATATTTATAAACATTAATGAGGTCACTCCTCAGTCTCCTCCGAGCTAAAGACCCAGTTCCCCAGCCTTTCCTTGTAAGGGAGATGCTCCCAGTTCAGTTTCTGGCATGTGGTTATCATGGTCGCCAAGTCTAGTTTAAGAAAAGAATATTATAGGAAAATAAGTCTTTCCTATCACATGGAAGGAAAAACAATATTCTTTAAGCACTGCATCTGCTTAAAACAAGTTGCACGTATCCACTACGAGCATTCATGGCAGACGTTCTTTTTTGCGCAAGCAGACTTGGAAATAACAGGGATTTTTTTTTAAATATCATTTAATAAATAATGAAAACTCACAGTAGATGCAGAATAATGATGAAATCAGATTTAGGGTTACTTACCCATATCCCATATACAAGCAAGATGGATAAACAAGATGCAAATGACCATTCAGCTGCTGTAATAGGACAGACAACTGCACCCCAGAACAGTCAATAAGCTTGCCTTCATGCAACTGGAAGCCACAAGATTTCACCTCCCTCTGGAGGAAGCAACAACAGTTCTGTGTGTTGTTGTGGGTGGCAGCTCAGTACTTTCACAGAATAAATAAAGTGTATTGTCTGTAAA